GTGGCTAACAATGCCATTACCGTAGCTTCAGGGACCGAAGTAGGGACTGAGAGATATAGCCCCTCTGGGCTGCAAGTTATAGTTGCTCGTAGTTTACATAACAGATCTCTACCTAATAAATTTGCAGGACAGGAAGTTGCAATTAAAAAGCTATGATCCTCTGATAACGGGCCAAGCTGGACCGTTTGCTCCGCAGTTAGAGGAAGGGCGCACACGGTGCCACCAACGCCTATAGCTTTTATGGTTGCAGAAGTGGTAGGAAGGGTGGGGTCCTGTAGAGTACTTCTATCTGCCCCGGTGTCAATTAACATTGAATAAGTTTTTCCTCCCACCACAACTGGAAGCTCCGGGTGGTTTACATCCAACTGCACTGTCCAAGAAGCGGAGGGGGTTCCTGGCGAGGGGGACGAAGCATTGTGGGCGGCTAGCTTTCAATCAGTACTTCCTTTTTCTCCCCCCCTTTCCTGTACCCTCTGGTAGGCTTGCATAAGAGGGCAGCTGGCTGGAGGGGGTAATTTGGGCACTGGGCAGCCCAGTGTCCTTTTTGTCGGCACCGCCGGCACTCATCTGGCCCTGCCCTCCCGGGCCGTGGCTGGAAGTTCTGACCTTGTGGTCCCCATCCCTGGGTAGAGCTGCCTCCTCTTCCGCCTCGTCCCCGAAAGCCTCCCCTCCTGCGGCTTGCATCCCGTCCCCGAGAGCCGTCTTGGAAACCTTGCAACTGCAGATTAAGGAGCTTTTCGGACCTCCTAGTGTCTAATTCCTTCCTATTCCTCCAGGCATGGGCTGCTAACCCCACCACCTCCTCCAGCGTTTTGTTTTCATAAGCTGGTTGACTACACACATACTTCCGAGCGAATGGTAATAAATTTTTTACATACTGGCCAATCACTTGTGTTTTCGCTACAGGGGAGGTTGGATCTAAGCCGCCGTGGTTTTTCAAAACCTTACAAAGGCGGTGGAAGAATTCCCCTGGGTGCTCATCGTGCTTTTTAACACATGCATCTACCTTTCCCCAATCATACACAGGCTTAGACATATCCTCTAATGCTTCTAAGATTCGCTTTCTCATTTTATCCCACTCTTGAACGGTCTCTGGAACATCCCAATCCATTTCAGGTTTCTCTTGCGGATAAGCCACCCTGCCTTGCACCGTCTCTCTAGCTTTCTTATACACAGTTTCCTTCTCACCCTCGCTTAGCACTTGATTTAAAATCATTTCCACATCGTCATAATTACAATTATACATTGTGAAAATACCCTTTAACTTTTTAATAAATTCTTCCGAACACTGTCGAAATGAGGGAAAAGTAGATGACCAATTCATTAGATCCGTGCTGGTAAAAGGGACATACACCATCTGTGTCCCCCCCCTACCGCTCGGCAGTTGTCGCATAGGCATTTGGACTGCACTAGCTATTGCAGCTCCAAGAACTTTTGCCTTAGGGGTGCCTAGAGAACCATGAGACCGGGTCTTTGCAGGGGTTGCATCACTGGGGTGTCGCGGATCAGGACGTGTCAACCCCCTGGTAGAGGTGCCAGCCTCCGGATCGCCCCCCCGCTCTGCGTTAATTGTGGGGGTATCGGTAGCTAGTGGGAGAGTGGGACCGCTCCTTTCCCCGGTTGGGGGCGTGGGTGCATCAGGGTCAGGCTGCGGTACCCCACCCCATAGCCAGCTACATTCTTCCAATGGTATAGGATCCCCCGCTTCTTTCAATGGGAGTTGGGGATAAATAGACTTTGACGTTTTTAGCTTCTGGTCAGCATGACTAGATTCTGGATTGTATGGTGGGGGCCGCATGGCTTTAAGTTTTTCTACCTCAGCACGTAAACTAGTAGTTACACTGGCACTTTTGCGCCGTTCGGCCTCCCTTATCCATACATCAGAATACTTAAGTTGCCGCGGTTGTAAATCATACAATACTTTTCGTAATTGAACAATGTTATGTAACTCAAATGTTCCTTCCCCCGGCCAGCGATTTCCTGGTTCCGGGTCGTCTTGCGTCATTCCCACCCAGGGACCTTGACACAAAAATATAAACTTATACAAAGCTTTGTTGCCATCCGATTGTAAGGCCTTGATATCCCTATCATAATGTTTTAACATATAGCCCAGAGGCGTAGAAGGATCAACAGTTCTACTGGACCCCCCCCCCCCCCCCATCTTTTCCCAAAGACGGGACCCCCGGCTGTTGTCTAGACAATCACAAAGGAAAAATTCAGAACTCACCAAGTTCCCACCGGCCGGTGTTCACCAATAGGTCCGGACCCTAGTGCCTTCGGGATGCCTTATTTCGCCGAAGCGGCGAGTGGAAGCGAGACGGGAAGCCTTCAGGGTTAAAGCAACCCGGGTGCCGGCAAGAAGGATTCAGAGTCCCGACCGTCCACCGGTCCGGAGAAGAGGCGATCCCGGACGAGCCCCCAAATTGTTAGGGAAAAAGGGTTCCCCTCCCGTCTAGGGTTAGGAGGGTAGCCTTCCCTGGACTTCTGTATTAGCCAAACAAAACACAGAGTCTTGGCTCTTTGATAAAGTGAGGCACTTTATTGCTAGCAAATACGACAGCTGAAGGGCTCACCAATTCCTTTTCAGAGGAAAATGGTGAAGCCCCGAACAAAGAACAGGGATGAGCTTTTATAGCTTGGTTCAACATACATTGTGATATCTCTTCCAGTTCGAACCGGTTAACCCAGTCTGTTTGAAGTTCTGGGGTAGGTACGAGCATGGAGGCTTATCTGTATAAGGAATTCTCTCCCCAAAAGCAGGGAGTGCAGGTTACACACAGTTCACATTCTTTCTATCCATAAACAAAGTAGAAAGGACAGATAAGCATAGAAAAAAGACAGCAGCGTAGCTTTACATGATTATAGGGTCGTTTTCTGGGTTTTTTCCCTATCAAGTTCCTCACTATTTTTCAAAGCCAAATCTAGAACAGCCTCTCCCCTAATAGCTTTCTCCACATTCTGAAAGAAAAATTGTCTCCAATACATTCCAAGAACTTGTTGGATAATCTGTGCCCTGCTGTGTTGTTTTCCCAGCAGAGGTCTTCTTCAGTAGTGTAGAGTGGCTGTAGACACATGTTCTCTAACCTTGCTCCGAGAAAGTCCTAGATGATACAAGGGTTAAAAACACCTGAACCCCATCTCCTCAATTGCTCCACCCCTGCTCTCTCTGGTGGAACTGCATGGCTTGCGGGCATGGGTCCCAATTTTAGTAGTGTAGACAAGGCGATAGTCAGGAATGTATATGGTGGTTTTGGGCTGAATTATTATCCCCCTAGAGCTGTGCTGTGTGTGGCTGAGTGTGACCCTGAAGGTGTCTGACCTGCTTTTAATGTTACACTTCTTTTGACTTACCTGAAAGTTGGTTTGGTGCTTGTGAAATCTGGGCCTGATCCAAAGCCTTTGAAGCCAATGGGAGTCTTTCCACTGACTTCAGATCAGCACCACTCTGTCGCCTCGATTACAACAAGTTCAAATCCCGTCCTCAATTGTCTCCTGTAATTAGCTTTACCAACAGGACCAAGACTAAAAATTATGGGAAATATTTACATACGTTATTGACTGCATCTGAGGCCCTCTAATGTCTGGTATGAAGAGCCAGTATAAAGTGCACAGATCTGCCGGGCCCTGCTAGGGTGTAGTCATCCAGCTCTCTCTCTATGCTCTCAGGGGTCCCCCAGCAGGTAACGGAGGGGGTTTGAGAAGTGCCAACAAAACCTCCGCAGAGCACCACCCTACCTCCTGCAGCTGGCCCTCAGTCGTGCCTCCTTCCCTCCTCCTCGTTACTCCAGAACAACAGAAATTCACATGCAAGAGCTTTGTTAATGGGGAGTTAAGGTGGCAGGTGCTCAGCCCTGCCCTGGGCTCCCTGTGTCCTTTCAGAATGGGAGTGTTTAATTCCCAGAAGTCAAAGGTTGGCAAACCAGGATATGCAGAGATATTATGGCCATATTCACAGCCATAAAAAACGCATCACAGACCATGAAATCTATAGAGATTTCACCGGGGAGACCAGCATTTCTCTAACTGGGGGTCCAGACCCAGAAGAGGGTTGTGGGGGGCGGAGGGGGTTTGCAAGGTTATTGGAGGGGATCACAGTATAGCCACCCTTACTTCCGTGCTGCCTTCAGAGCTGGGGAGCCAGAGAACGGTGGCTGCTGGCCAGGCACCCAGCCCTGAAGGCAGTGCCCCCCCAGCAGCAGCGCAGATGTAAGGGTGGCAATGCCGTGACCCGTCGACAATAACCTTGCTGCCCCCCTCCCCCCAGCCGCTTTTTGGGTCAGGACCCTACAGGTACAACACTGTGAAATTTCAGTTTTAAATAGCTGAAATGATGAAAATGACAATTTTTTACATCCTGTGACTGACATTGACCAAAACCGACCATGAATTTGGTAAGCTCTTAATTATGATGCTTCCCACGCAACTCAAACTCTGCCCCAGTGGGTCTGGGAATAGGAACAAGGAATAGACCAGCACCATGCCAAACCAAACTTGTCCTTGTCTGTGTGCCCAGCACCGTCCCAAATCTGCATTCCTCTTCATACCGTCCACATTGTTCGGTGCAGCGCCATTGATTAAGGCGGGAATTGCTGTTCATTGGCGGGGGGAGGGTGACGTCTGTGGTCTGCGTGAGGGACCCCTCTGGGCACAGCCCAAAGGAGGCGGAGTTGAGGTTGTTTGGCAGGAGTATCCTTAGCCCAGCATCTCCTGCTTTGCCAGCCGTTGAATGTTGAGTAGTCTGGGATCCCGTTCTGACGAGGCATGAAGAGCACAGAGCAGTGCTGTCCCCCTGCAGTGGTGACGTTTTTCGCACGTGAATAATGGAAATCCTGGGCAGCTGCCCTGTAGGCTGATCTGTGCACCAACCAGCTCACTGCTCGGGAAGAGTGAGGTGATGACTGTTCCCTCTGGATAGGAGTCCCCATATCTACAAACTACACTGAAATCCTGTCCTGTGAGAGACGCTAATGTACTCTCTCTTCTCCTCCTCCTCTGCACAGCAAATGACCAAGGATCTAGTGGCTCTGACCTATCTGCCCAGGGTAAGTGAGGGGGGCTCTAGCCTAGGGGTTCACTGCTCTCACTGAGGCCTCTGGAGAGAAAGACCTAGTCCAAGTCATTGGACCCTGAGTGTCCCTGGCCCGTCCCCTCTAGCAAACCAGCCCCAAGGAGCAGAACAGGGGAGTTTGGGATCTTTTATTTCCCTTTTATTCACACTGGGGGTGCAGGAACAGGTTTGCAGCCAAATCCCCCTTGTTTTTGCTGCGATGACTTTAGGTGTGAAAGACGCTAGTGAGAGGGATTTCTCTGTGGCTGCTGGTACAGCGTGGGCTGAGCTCAGCTTTTGCAAGGATAACTCCAGCTGCTTCAGAGAACAGTCTCCAGTGCACTGCAGGGAGGAAGCAGCAGGGACAGAGCCCAGCCCTTGGGGCTCCAGGAACCCGGGTCTCTGACCCTGGAGCTACAAGCTTTGTCAGCGGGGCTAGAGATTTTGTCCACTGAACCCTGCAGCCACTAGGGCGACCGCCCCGACCGCAGCGTGCACTGTCATTGCAAAACATGATGGCAGGTTCCCTTTGACAGACGTTGCCTGTGTTTAACTTCTGCAGCTTAACAGAGCCTGGTGGAGTCCGTGCCACGGCCTGAGGGGACCCCCGAGAGGAAGACGGATGAGCTCTGCTCTGTCTCCCTGCAAGAACCAGTCAACCCCTCCCTAGCTTTTCTCTGGCACTTGGAGCGTCCCGTGTGGGATTTCCGGCCTCGTCTCTCTGCTCACTGAACCATGTTTTGCTTTCCAGATGTCATAGTTTTCTGTAATAATGTTTTATTTGCACAAAATAATTTCCAACATTTTAATGGATAAAAACTCTGTTAGTCAGAGTTCAGTGTTTGCCCCATTCAGTGTGGGCACGCCGTCCTCTGGCTGCGCGGTGCGGTGAGCTAGGTCTGTCAGCAGTAACTGCTTGTGCGTCTGTGGTGGGGACGGCTTTTTTTTCTGTCGAATTTCATGATTATAACATGGTAAATGGCCGGGTCTACTCGCAGCTGGTCGCGCTGTTGCCATCATCAGCTGAGGACGTCTGTTGGACAGGAATAAGTGTCTGTGTTTAGTTTGTAAGTGCCTCTAACGTCCTTTTCACCATTCATAGAGCCATAGAAATGCTGGGCTAGAAGGGCCCTCAAGAGATCATCAAGTCCAGCCCCAATCTCAGGCAGCACCAAGTTAACCTAGACCATCCCTGACAGGTGTTTGTCCAACCTGTCCTTAAAAACCTCCAATGACGGGGATTCCACATCCTCTCAAGGCAACCTGTGTGACGAAGTGGGATATTTTCCTAATGTTGCATATGTATACGGTGTGCCTCGGTTTCCCCCGTGTGCTGCATGTCTAACCCAGGTGGGAGGTGGGGTGTCTGTTGTTTTAGAAGACCAGGTGTGACCCAGTCTAGCAGCCTGGACCCCAGACCATGGCCTGGGCACTTTGTAACGTAGCGACTGATGACCTGAAGGCCCATCCCAACTTGGAGCCAGCCAGTTATGGGCAGCGGAGAGAACAAAGAGCTGAAGAGAGAGTCACCTGGAGACCTGTTTGCCCGGGAAAGAAGACAGATGGAAGTGGGGCCTTGGAGGTGATATGGGGTGGGCCGCAGAAAGGAGGATTCACTTCTGGTCTGGGAACAAAGAGCGGCCTGAGCCCACCTGGATGGGGACAGACCCTGATGAACACCCCTGAGAAGGTCTTGTAATCTGCTCCAGACGTACAATAAACCCTTCTGTGCTGCGCTGGCTGAGAATCGCTGCAGGCTCAAGAGAGGCAGGCATGCTGGAGGCTCAGACGGGCGGTACTGGGAGGCGGAGGAGAAGCCTACAACTTAAACCCTGAGCAAAGAGTGTGACCTCATGTAGGCTCAATACTCTGAAAGGCCGGTTCCCATACGGAGCCAAGAGGGCACTGGCCTGTGAGTCTGTGACAACCTGTCCCACACTGAACTGTCCTTAGAGCTAGAGAGTTTTCCTAATGTCTAACCTAAATCCCCCGTCTCCTACTGTCAGTGCACCTGGAGAACACTTGATCACCGTCCTCTTCAGAGCAGCCCTTAATGCCGGGGTAGATAATTATTTTTTGTCAAGGTCCAAATTTCTTGGTCACGATATAGCCACGGTCCAGACTCAAGAGAAACATTTTTCACACCACAAGTGCCCTGTTCAACGACCGCCTGCAGTGCTGTGAAATGTGCCCAGGGCCTATATTGTTTATATTCTTAGTGCATTAAATGAAAAATAAAATCAAGCCATAGTATAGCCTGAAAATAACCTCCAAGAAAGATAATGAGGAGTCTGGTGGCACCTTAAAGACTAACCGATTTGTTTGGGCATAAGCTTTCATGGGCCCACGAAAGCTTATGCCCAAATAAATCGGTTAGTCTTCTTGGAGACCCCAGGGCATGGCCACTAGTTAAGTCGAGGGGATGGAAGGCAATAAGGGTCGAGGAAGTCTCCCTGCTGAAGGCCGAAGGGCTTCTTCTCAACGCCCCTTAATAGAATTTAGGCCTGGCTGGTTTGAGTAAGCTCTTTTGCTCTTAAAACAATGTTGCAGCCGCAGATAATGCCTTATAGTGTAAGGTTTGCTGACGCCAAGTTAAAGATAATAGGAGAGAGAACTACAAGGCCAGGCAGGACGTGCTGGTTGTTTAAGTTGCTAGGAATGCTTGTTAGCGGTTGCAGGAAGTATACATTGTTGTAACCCAGATAAGGAAGGCAGAGTATTTGTGTAAAGTTTTAATTGGCTGATGTGTAGTGCAGTAGCATTAAGGAATATAAAAGTGTGTGTAATGACCTGCTCTGGGTGCAGGATTTGAGATTCTATTCTCCCTACACTTTGTTTGCAGCTGCAAATAAACTTTTCTGCTTCTCCACCCCGTTGTGATTATTGAGTGACGCACACCGGGTAACGAACCCCTGCTGTTGTTTGGCCTCTGGGCACTGGGTGCTGGCAACAGTCTTTAAGGTGCCATCGGACTCCTCGTTGTTTTTGGGGATACAGGCTAACACGGCTCCCCCCGATACTTGTCTCCAAGAAAGATGTAATTTATCTGAAACGTTGAGAAAGTGTTTAGAAAAATGTCAAATAGATGCAACTATTAGCATTAAAATTACTTTCAGGCAACAGGTTTAAGTTTTGTGTGAGTTTTGTCAAATACGGTTATTGTAGGTGTATCTGCATAGAGAGAGAGAAACAGATTCAAAACTTTTTCAGCCGTTTGTGGTTTATTTACCATCAGTATCAGAGTTTGAAAGAAACACTTAGTACACCTGAACTCTTCATCATTTATGATTCAAGCCTTTCCACTAACAAACTCCCACCCACCACCACTCCCAGATCCTTCTCAGCACCGCTGCTGCCGAGCCACTTTGCCTCATTCTGTATTTGTGCATCTGGTTTTCCTTCCCTACGTGGCGCACCTCACATTGGTCTTTGTTGAATTTCATTTTGTCGTCTGTTGCCCAGTTCTCCAGTTTATCCAAGTCCCTCTGAATTTTAGCTCTATCCTCCAAAGTGCTGGCAACCTCCTTCCCCCCACCCCGCAGCTTTGTGTCATCTGCAGCATTGATCAGTCTGCTCTCTGAACCTACATCCAGGTCATTAATAACGATGTTAAACGCTGGAGCCAGAACAGATCCCTGGGGAACCCCACTTAAGACCTTCTCTTTTGCCCTCACAATTTACAGCTCTCTCCTCCCCCTCGGGGTGCAGTGACCCTCTACGGGTTAACAGGACCTTTTTCCAGTGAAAGAGCCTTTATCACACTGTGAATATTCTTAAACATGTACATGTATTTATTAGCTATCAACAGCTGATCAGCAGAATGCACTCACCGAGCATCTAATGCTCACCACTCCCAATAAGGCAGACAGACCTCTCCTAATGGCCAGTCAGCGTTGTGTCATCTGGGGCTCTGGCTTCTCCACAGTCTGGTCATGCAAGGGATAAAAATCCGAGCCATTCCAGTCTTGAGCCAAATCCCCGAGTTACGTTCCAATGAGCTTGTTTTCTCACCCTCCGGATCGAGTTAAAATGAGAGTTCTTCTTACAATACCTTCTTCGCCAAGTGTTTTACTCAAAGCATGACTAGACGTCTCACCAGTCATAACCCCTCACGGGCTAAAGCAATTTCTCTAGCAACAGCAAAACCTTATAATTTCTGCTTATCAGCAGAAGCAACTTTTTTAACTCAGACTCCCGCGGGCGCCCAGTCAGAGCCTTGCAGACACGCCAGGGCAGCGGGTCCGTCCTCCCTCCCGGTCCAGTCGCTCTGTGACGTTCCTGGGTCTGTCCCGGGGAGTGATGCTGCAGCTGCCCCTGGCATTCCTTGTCCCTGCGCTCAGGAGCACAGCAGGGGAGCTGCCTTGTTCCTTCCCCCGTCGTGGAGCTGCCTGGACCCACCGCAGGCTGGGGAGGGCGGCAGGTGAGAGGCACAGATGGCCTGGAGACCCCTCTCTGACCAGCCTCCACAGACTGGGCCAAGCCCCTCTGCCTGTCCCATGCAGCCTGCAGGGCTTGCTGGGTTTAACTCTCACCTCCGGGGTGAGACTGGATCCTACCACAGTGTAACGGGGACATGCTGGTGGCTCCTCCCTGGGGAATTTGGGTGCTTGGTGCCCAGGGTTCATCTCTCCTGGTGGCAGAGAGCACAGGAGCAGCCAGTGCAAACTTTATAGCCTTCCCCTCTGCTCATGGGTGGCTGGGCTTAAAGATGCCTCTGAACCAGGCACCTTCACCCAAAAGGGAGCTGATTCCTGGCCCATCGCAGGGCGTGAGCTGGCATCAAACAGCTCACTCTGGGCAGGGCCTTGTACCCTTCCCTACCCCTATTTCTCCAGAGTTGAAAGGTCAAAAATCCCCCTCAAATCTTCCTTTAAGAGATGATTAGCGTCTGAGCTGCGTGGACAGCGATTTGCACTAGTTGGTGTGGGGATGGGGGGGCCTGGTGTTGGTTGGGGAGCTCCCTGTCCATATCCCCCACCCCGGAGCCCACTCCAGGCTCATCCATACCCCCCTGCGGTCTCCCAGGAGCTGGGGCTGCCTCCTCTGCGTGATGAGTTCCCTTCTTGATGGAGGCTCTTGCAGCTGCTGTGATCCGGTGTAGCTTCACTCTGTTGTGGCTGTGAGGACGACTGTGCCGGTGTCAGGCAGCCCAGGGGCTCTGGGTGAGGGAGCGGCTGACAGGGGATGTTTGATCTAGAACAGGAGTTCTCCAACTTCACTGCACCATGACCCCTTTCTGACAACAAAAACTATGACATGTCCCCAGGAGGGGGGGCCGAAGTCCAAGCCTGCCTGAGCCCCACTGCTCTGGGTCCCCACTGCTTCAGCCCCAGGCAGGGATCCTAACCTGAGTCCATTCACCGAAGCCCTCAGGCATGTCTAAGCCAGCCTGGTGACCCCACTAAAATGGGTTCGCAGCCCACTTTGGGGTCCCAAACCACAGTTTGAGACCCATTGATCTAGAAAGTTAAAATGTTTTTACTGGTACCTAAGTAGCAGCTGCCCTTAATGATTTTATAAAAGAGAATGTTTTACATAGTCTGTTCTGATATGTCCGTAGTAGCCATTAAATACAAGAAACCATGTAAAAATAATCTTCTAAAATAACTAAATGAAATTTCAAAATTGTTATATTTTCTAAAATTATTATTTTTTTAATTCTCTCTAATTGGCAGTTTCAGAAATATTTGTTTTCATTCTGAACTGGATCAAAAGCAAACTTCAATATGTTAAAATTTCCCCTAAAATAGAAAATCCAGGATCTGACCAGCTCTCCCCATAATTCCTGCCTCCCAGCCCCCATTATAACACGGCTTTTGCCTTCATTATCACAGCTAATGCTGGTCAAACTGTAATGCAACTAAGACAGTTTAATAGCGCCTGACGAAGAAACCAGGGATAGTCTGTTCTGTGTTTGTACAGCGCCGAGCGCAGCGGGACCCTGGTTCATGCCCATGGCCCCGATGGTAAACACAGGATAAAGGACAGTTCTGTGGGCAGAGGGATCTGGACTGCGGGGAGGGGGGTGTGAGGCGTCCTGGAGCCAGCAGAGGGCAGCAGCGACCTCCTGGCAGACCTGTCCTCCAGCTCCTGTCTCCGGGGTCCTGGGTCCTGGTTCTGTCCCCAGCCTGTGCTGGAAAATGCACAAAGAGCAGGACTGACCTGCCTCTCCCGCAGTGTGATCCTCACACAGAGACTCCAGCTCCGGCCCAACAGCACTCACAGGGCAGCTGAATTTTCTGGGGGAAAATTGGCTAAATATAGGGTTCACAACCAATCATTCCTTAAAATGTCCCCTCGTGTCTCACTTTCCTAATCTAGCCTTTCTCAAAGGCCAGGTGAGCTGATCAGAATGGGGCCTTCTGTCCTTAACAGCTTTGAATCTGGGGAAAGACCGGAGGGCCGGTCTTGCCCCGCAGTGACTCACGTCTGGATGCCACGGTGACGGGCCCCAGGGGAAACCCCACAGCGGTCACGTTGACTCCCCCAGCCAGTGCCCCAGGGACCCCTCGTCTGGTCGCTGAGCAGGACAGCCAAGACGATGGAGCAGGCGTTCGGCCGCGCTCCGACAGGGCGAGGGGGCTCTGGGGCCGGCGTCCCTCTCCTGCACCTCCCAACCTCTCCCACTCAGCCCCGCATCCAGCTCCTCTGCCAGAGCCCAGAGGGTCGCAGCCCAAGGGGGGCGCTGTGACAGGAGGGCACCAGAGGGCTGTGTTGGCCGGGGCACACGGTGACCTGAGAGCCCCAGAACGGGGGGGAAGGAACCGGACGTGGCTGGATAGACTCACACTGGTGTGGGGATACCGGGAGGGGGCAGTGACATGCGGGCTCCAGAAGGGCAGATTTCTCCCACCCCAATGCTGAGCATCACCAATGGTCAAGTGCCCCTCCCCCGGCCCAGAGCAGGGGGTGATTGGGGGAGGGGGCGGTTAACACGCTCCAGCGCAATGGAGGGAGCTAGGGTGGGTGGTGATGGTGGAAGGTTGACTCCCGAAATCTCCCCAACCCCCTGCACTAGCCTGTCCCTTTGGGCTGAGTAAGAAAAAGGGGGAGCCCCTGAGAGCTGGGGAGCATGGGGACCTGTCGGGTCAGCGTGTGGCCTGCAGCAGGGGACCCTGAAAACTGGGAGAATTGCAGCAGGAGGCTGAGAACTGGGAGGCTTGGACCTGTGGGGCAGAGGGAAGGGGCCTCCTGGGAGCTGTGTGGACATGGCCGGGGGCTGGGAGCTCTGGGTATAGGGAGGAGTCCCCCTGGCTGGGGGGGCACAGAGAGGGGCCTCCTGGGAGTTGGGTGGGCTGGGACCTAGAGGCACGGGGGGGGGGGCCTGGAAGCTGGGTGGGTGTGAGCTGGGGCACAGGGAGAGGTCCCCTGGGAGCGGGGGTGGGCGAGAAGCTGGGGGACTGGATCGGGACCCCCAAAGATTTACTGGTCTCTCTGCCCTGCACTTTTAGTTCCCAGTCCCTTCCCTTCCCCTCCCCTCACTTCCCAACCTGGAAGAGTCTGGCAACTTCCCGCTCCCGTTGGCTGGCCACATTCATCTTCCATTGGGCCCATGGAAAGAGGAACGGCAGGGCTGGGACCATCTGGGGTGGTGGTGGGAGGGGAAGAGGAGTATGGCGGGTTCACTTGTAGAGCCCCCCTTGGGACTGTCACTTGATGTCCTGAGCTACCACGGAGCCTAACCCTTCTGCCAGCCTGGGCACCCCTTGACTCTGCCTTGCTGAGCCAGACCCTGCAGGCCCCCTCCAGCACAGACCCAGAGATAGGGCCACACCCTCTGCCGAATACAGACACGGAGAATCCCTCAGCCCTGGGGCGGCTCAGTTAACAGGGTCTTGCCCCAGCACCCAGTGCAGCGCCTTCCCGGGAGCCTGAACCCCAGATAAACTCGTCTCACCCTGTCTAAGTTGTACGCAGTGTGAGTTCATATTATTCGCCCTCTTTCTCCTTGTAAAGAGAGATCTGCACAGACTGCTCTCCCCCCAGGGACCAATGACTTACACTGGGATTATTAATGAACAAAAGTGATTTTATTAAGTATAAAAGGTAGGATTTCAGTGTTTATAAGAGATAACAGACAGAACAAAGCAAGTTACTAAGTAAAATAAAACAAACACAAGGCTA